CTCTCTTTACATCCGTCACACACTCTTTCAGGGCACTATCCAATACTACACCCACTCCATTTCTCTTCCCATCACTTCCGCAGTAATAAAACTTGTACCCCTCTCCTATCTCTCTTGCTTTTGTACCCTTCCATTTTGTTTCTTGCAAGCATGCCACGTTTATTCTTCTTCTTTTCAACACATCTGCGAGCTCTCTCGCTCTTCCAGTCATACTCCCTACATTCCAACTTGCATACCTCAACCTCACCTCTCGGGCTTGCTTCTTACGTTGCACCCGCCTCGGGTGGTGCAACAACCCTTGTCCACTTATTCGCGTAGCCGGGTGCTGCTGCCGCGCGTCGCCTACGGGGTACGCCCTAGCACTGTCGCACTCAATTTCTATCATACTATACTGCATTAAAATGGTTTTGGCTAATTAATTTTATGGCCGGCCGCCTGCCTGTCGCCAACCCTCCTTGGAAGGGAAAAAGGAAACATCGGGGGTGAGAGGATTGGGTGAGAGAGGAAAATTAGGGTGGGGGAGTACTAGGATGGGAGACAGGACTAAGACTGCGGTATGTACCAATATCCAGCGGATGGGGAGGGCCTGGTGGCCTCTCCAACCGCAAAGACAAGTACCGCACGGACTGTATACATACTGTCTGATGATAAACAGTCCAATAATAAATATGAATTTTAATTTGCGCAATTGCTTGCTAAATTCCAATTAAATATTAAAAGATCTTGGCAATATAGTATTTTTACTGAAAACTGTCACTCCAAGACCTCGGCTCATCGACCCATATTTCAGAGCTGACACGCCACTCCTGCCTAGCTGAAAGTGAAGTGGCAATTAGGTATTTTATTTTTATGGAAAGTTGTGTTAATTGGCGAGTAGACATAACTTACGTTACACGATTCTCATGACCACCTTCTCGGTGTGATGATATATTTTGCAATTTCACTTTACTGGATTGAAATCGATTCTACTCACACACTCCAGTTTCTCTTCGCAGACCAGCCTCTTCTGTCAGTCTCGTTGCGGGTAGTCTCGTAGCAACTTTTATTTGGATTTATGCCGCTAAGGTTGCTATAAACAGAAGCACTGTTACATTTTATACATTGCGGAATAGTTTTCCCAGTACCAACCAAGTCTTATCTATTTTTTCTTTTTTTCTGGTTTAAGAGGACAAACGAGCAGACGGGTCACGTGATGGTAAACAACTACCGCCGCCTATGGACACTTGCAACTCAAAAGTCACAAGTGCGTTGCCGCCCTTGGAGTCCCTCTCGCTCGAGTCAGCGGGAAAGGGGATTTGGGCGCCGGTAACCGCACTCACTCATTGAAAGGCAACGAAATAATTGCTTAACACCGGTTTTCTGTGAGGCCGTGGTATCGCTCCGGTCGAGCCAGCCCATTCGTGCCGAAGCATGGCTCTCCCACGTTCAGCTTCTGGTTATCAAGGTGATAATCTTGTATCGTAATATGCGGGCTGTACCATGAATAGCTTGAGTATCATCCCAAAAATTTCGTATGTCCACTCTATACAATATCTAAATTTTCTTTGCAGAATAACATCAGAGATACATTTCATAGAATGGTATTTCAGCTAACGTAAATACTATCGTGAAATTGGTACTTTGTAGAGCAATGGCATAATTCCGCATGTGATTGGAGCTCGTTCAACGTATTGTTACGTTCAAAGCGAGCGTGTAGGCAGATGTGATCGACAGGAAGTCGCTTATCAGTCAGCGTACCGGCTAATAAAAATTATGTTCCTATGGACTGTGGTTTATAGGAATTTGAGTTTTCCTCTTTGATGAAGGAATATTTTATCCTTTTTTGTAATCTTTGACTTGTTAATTTATTCCTGTATGATTTATAACTGTTATTTTGGATAGCAGTTTTTGCCTTAATTTCTGCAACCAACCAACCAACTGGTATGAAGTTTTTTTTTTGACTTTCCTAAATGTCTGACTACGATGGCTGACTAGCTGGAGACATAGCTCAATGAGATATGCTGGAGTTCCATTTTATATGCTTACCCAGTTTAATGGGTGTTCTAATTGATGAGCTCAAAAAATGAAATGCTTTTTTTGTAAAGTGACCCCCCAAAACGCCTACATGTTACGTACACAGTTAATTAAAGCTCATGTGAACTTGATACTTGAGTTTTTCGACGTTTCCTCTTTTGAGAAGTTTCTTCTTTCTTCAAAAAAAAACTGCCCCCATTAAATGACAAAGCCACGCATAATAGTGCCTGAAAAGATCTATTTTCAAAATTAATCTATTTAACAAGTTCAGCTCGTCTCCTAGCCGTCTGACTCGGGTTGTAGCACCCCATAGAAGGTTACAAGGTCGCCGACCTCCATTGGTTAATTATTCGTTTCCAACCGCGAATTCTCCATTATAGCACGATAAGTCGTTCCCGATTTAGCGTTACTGGTCACTGCTCCGCTATTAAGAGCCGTAGCGTGATGCTACATAGCTTTTTACGCTTTTGAAACTCTTTAGAACACTAACAATTATTCGAATGCGGGTAGATTAAAAGATTAATTATTGCGTTTAAATAAAGAGTTCTTTTATTGCAAACATTCTTCTTAGCTTATTTATACTAGTAACTAGCTGACCCGGCAAACGTTGTATTGCAAAACAAAAAAAAATTAGAGATGGGTCACCCTTACCATTTAGGGGTATGAAAAATAGATGTTGGCCGATTCTCAGACCTATCGGATGTGCACACAAAATTTCATGAGAATCGGTCAAGCCGTTTCGGAGGAGTACGGGAACGAACATTGTGACACGAGAATTTTATATATAAGATAGATTTAGCCAGCGGTTTCGCCCGCGTGTATGTCGGTTATCGCGGTAAAAAGTAGCTGTGTCCTTTCTCAAAAATCAAACTATCTCCATACTAAATTTCATCCAAATCGGTGCAGCGGTTATTGATTCCCCATACAAACTTCCACCCCCTTAAAAGATGATTTTAAAAAAACTATCCTATGTCCTTTCCCGGGACTAAAACTATCTTTATACAAAATTTCATCTAAATCGGTGTAGCGATTTAAGCGTGAAGAGGTAACTGACATACACACTTTCGCATTAATTATATTAGTATGGATGTATAGATATTTGCTATCTTCCCTATTGTAAGAATAATAATCTCAGACATCTCACACACGGCCGTCTGATCCTAAACTAGGCAGAGCCTGTACTATGGTAACCAGACTGCTGATAAACATACTTATATATTTCTAAATACATACATATTGTAGATAAATTACATCCAGACATAGAACAAACGATCGTGCTCATCACACAATAATTTGTCCTGGGTTATTAAAATTTATAAGCGTATGAAAAAAATATTTTTGGTAAAATGTGACTACAATTCATATATTTCGACCGCCGAATAGTATAAATGACTTATCGCATAACTTATCACTAAAATGTAAATGTTATCGACTGCCCTGCTGATGATATTTATTCTTCGCCACTGCAGGGGTGTGAATGTGCACGTGAGCATAGTTCCGCATTTGTTCATGCATACGGTGAATTAGGGTTCACACGCAGTTCACCATTCACAAACGATATTATTTCTCTCATACTCAATTTATTGATTAATACAATAGCGTTTCATAGTCTCCGTCTATTTGGTTTCATAGTATCTATTCTTTGTACACTTTATACACACTTTTTTTTTTAAATATCGAACGCAATAACGTAATGATTTGTACAAAAATGCACAAAACTATTATTATTTTTTGAAAAGACAACTCCCTCATCAGGAACATATCCTGAGTCGCGGGGGACCTTTACAAACACACATGAAACGAACCCAGACTCAGAAAAACAATCCTTAGTCCACACATAGTGTTGGCCCATGCGGATTGAGCCCACACCACTACGCCATCCGACAGTAAAAAAAAAAAGATTGATCCATAAAACTACACGCGAATTATTTAAATATCGAATTATCGTTGAAATTTGACCAACAGTTTCTAGTTACAAAACCTCGCCGTTACTCTATTTATCTACATACGTGTCGGTACGGACACATCACATATGGAGTTGTTTTGTTGCAATTACTGTTTATTATTCTATCAATCTTGAATGCTGTTCTGGAATATTTTATTATTTACAAATGAACCATTTACCTATAGCTAGTGTGTACGTTTGTGAAAAGCAATTTAATGATAATTTTACTAATTCACTATCAAGTGAAATGCGTACTAATTAGTGCGCATTTAGTTATTTTAAGAGCGTGATTCTCAAGAATCGAATTCAAATTAAATATGTTTATTTCATAATTATTATTCTACACAATTATTCGGTATCGTGAAAAAAAAAAATTATTAACAAATGAAAAAAAAAATAACATACACAGAGGGAAATTGATCACAAATAATACCATGTCTGACCGTGTCAGTCTAAACCGGCCCGTTTTCGAATAGTTGGGTCTTGATAGAAAAATACGAGGCTAATAAACTCACGGCGAAGGTCACATCAACTTTTGTACACCAGATCGTTATAACAATATTTAATAAATTATGTTTAAATCACTGGTTTGAGTTTTATAATCAAGAATAAATTTATTTTTGATACATCCTCCTTCCTCCGAGCCAAACTACGTTGGGGTCGGCTTTACTTGTACCACGATACGGCTGAACTTACGCGGACCGACTGCCATCAGACCATTACGATCCAAGTACCATGCGATGGGACTTTTTAGGGTTCCAACTATCCGTAACGATCATTCTACCCACAGATGCACGTATGGTAACCGGGACCGAGGCAGCTTAACGTGCTCTGCGAAGCATGGAGGGGTCTCAATTTGTTAAGAATGGTCACCAAATTAAGATTGGTACATTGAAATAATTCATTTTTGTAATAAACTAATTATCTTTAATTGTAACGTGTTTGCAATAAGGTACAAAGATTCAGTTTTACTACAGTAGTTATTGTTTTGAAAGCCGTTGCTAATAGTATGCCCATTCAAATGGTTGTTAATTGTTTAAAGAGCTACACGCGGCTGCCAAGGAGACGGTGACGCTAGCTGAGCAACGTTTCGTGAGCAAACAGGACGAGTGGCAGTTTGACAGCAACTGGCAGGAGGTGCTGAACCATGCAATCATCAAGGTACGAAGTAGATAAAGCAACTACTGTTCACATACCAAAAAGTTCTAAATCCTTTTTTTTATGGAATGGAATTTCAAATGAGCAGACAGGTAACCTGGTGGTAAGTGACTACCGTCCACGGACACCTGTTATTTCAATCAGTCTATTTCCTCCTCCTCTCCCCCCTCCACAGGGGTATCAGGGGTGGGTGGATAAGCTCACTCACTTGGTGAAAAGCAACGAAAGAATTGCTTAACCCCGTTTGTCTGTGAGGCCGTGGTATCGCTCAGGTGGAGCCGGCCCATTTATGCCCGAAGCATGGCTCTCACACTTATGGCAATACTAATTGGTTCAAACTCTTTTTTTAACAATTCAGGTCATGGACGCTGAAAAGCGGAAGGCTGAAAGTGGAAGAGAACACCAGAAAAGAGCAGTGGCTTATATTGCAGCGGAGAAAAAGGTAATTAAATTCAATATCTCCTTTTTAGATTGATATTTTAGCCTAGGAGTAACGTAGTAGAATATACAGCAGACCACAAATTTATTGCAAAAGGTATTCAATGTCGCTAGCTAAATTATCCTGTATTGTCATTAAAAAAAAAACAAGAAAATAATTTTCTTAATCGCATGCTACAGGTAGCTCAACTAGAAGAAAATTTAAAACGAAGTATTATAAAATCCCGCGTGTACTTCGAGGAAAAGAAGCTCTGCAATGAACAATTGCAGACTCAAAATGAAAAGATTGATAAGCTGCAGCGGCTTATCGCCGACGCTAAATTCCGTTATTCTAAGTCTCTCAAAGCGTTGGAGAAAATATCTGAAGAAATTCATAGAAGACGAGGAGAATATCCTCCCGGAAAAGACACAATCCCTGTCGGGCCCAGAGAACCTGGCGTAGGTGCAGAAAAAGATGCAATACATGATGAAGACACGGCGAAGGCTGAACATGAAAAAGACGAAGAATCTAGTCTGCAAGAACTCAGATTGCGTGTAAGAGAACTTGCTTCTAAACCAATAGAGAAAGATGTGGAAACCGATGAAGCATGGGCTTTGGAACTGAACGAGACTATAAACAAACTGGACCAACTGTTGATGATGAAAGAGACCAACCAACAGAAACGGTCGAAATTCACGGCTAGCAGCCCGAGGAACTCTAGTGCACCTTCAACTAGTACAAACACTGGCAAATATAGCCAGCCGCCAAGCGATACATGGAAAACTGACACAAACCTGACGAGAACCAAATCTATAAGCAAAGATGTCGTCTACGAAGCCAATAACCCACCAATGAGCAAGTCTGAAAAATCCAAGTCCATGATGTCGTTGGATGTTCTTGCTTTAGCAAGAGATACAACCATAATGGACAGAGAGTCATACCTTAAAGCCGTCATTGAGGACAAGTCACCGACAGGCACGTATACAGAAAGCAATTCAGACAGAAACGATAGTCCAGATGAGATCCTCATGGTAGAATGTGATTCTAGTGACTCGAACCAGAATCCAGTAATACGGATGACTAGTTCCACAGTCTCTGACAGTGATAACAGCTAGACTTGACATAAGAAAGTCCTCATGACCGTGTTGTCTTAAAAAGTTGTGATCGATTTACTGGTTGTGTTATTTTTTTCAGTCATTTTATTTTAATTGCAATTGCGCAACTAAATTGTTGTGAGAAACATATTAGGTATATTTGTTACGGTCGTGTAATTGAATTTTAATATTTGTTCCACCTGAACAAAACATATTTATATTTAATGTCAATTTGAGTGTTTAGATTATTTTTACAAAAATATATAAATAAAAACAGTAAAATCTAATTTTCGTATTGATTGTTAGATTAGTATTGTGTTAAGAACAGCAATGTTAGTATTTAAAATTAGAACAGTAGCGATCACTGCCACAATCAATAAATAAAAAAATACTCGATTTATGTTTATCGTTTACCTACATTTTTTTATCTTGATATTATTATCTATTAAGTACTTTACATTTTTTGAAAACTGATTATTGTTTGTTTTTAATCATATGATCCTTCTCATGACACTTAGATGGCATCATGATCCAAGTCCAATCTATGTAAATTAATTAAAGAATATCCGTTCATGGAATTTACCTAATTACTTTCAAAGCATAAGTCGTAATGCACTTTGATTTTTTTTAATAGTCTGAGAAAAATGTTACAAAGGGAATTCATTGTTTAAAGGAGTTGCGGAGTGGAACTTTGAAACTTGCCACTTTTTTTTTCAAATACCCTCTAAAATACTAACATTGCTGTTAAATGATTAAAATAAAATAAATAGTTAAGATCTGGCACGGTTGGTGTCGTCTATAGTTTCGTAGTAGTCTCATGAACTAATTATAATCTAATCAAACAGAAGGATTTGCCTTGTTTTCAATTCAAGACTATATGTATATTCAAATCATATACACATAAGCCCCGTTTGGTAGCTTTTACAATAATTAATCATTAACTGACACTGCGAGCCATAACAGTCCACCGAGTTAATTCAGAAAACTTATTTACGTGTTGTAAACTATATTAATTTACTGTATGGGCTTCGAATATCGCGCAGTAGTGTTAGTATACACTGTTACAGAATGGTATGGTCACGCCATCGTAGTACATAAGATTCGTGAACCTCTAAACAACGCTTTTTATAAACGCAATAGGTTTACATGCTCCATTTTAACACGTATTCACCTGTAGTAGTGTATTGACGCTGCTTCAGATTGATTTAATAGTTACTCATAGATTGTCAATAGGTAAAGCTTTAGGTTTCAACGTAGGTGTCGTTCAAAATATCTTGAGCAATACAAAATGTTTATTACAGTCGCAAAATACGATAAGTAATAAAGTAATTTTTTTAACAAAGTTTACAGAAGCATTACTCTGACTGAACCTGTAAAATTGACGGGGTAATAATGCTATATTTCAGAAGGGAAAGCTGACATGAATGGAACTATGGCTATTTAATATCAATAAATTTGATGGAATGTTTAAAAAATGGCCGCAAAAAAAAACATTGAAATGAAGTAGAAAATTTATATGTTCCCAAGGGAAGCATATTCTGACAAAAAAATATTACGTTTGTTGTTCATACTCTTTTCATTTTTCACATGTAGTCATATAATTCTAGGCTTTACCAAAGGCTCTTAAAATTTAACCACACTTGTCTGTAACAGTAAAAAAGTATAAATATTACTATTCAACCTCATCTCTAAGCATTCGGTTCCATTATTTCGGTAAGAGAAAGGTAATATAAACCAGTAATCATTCCGTCAATTTTGAATTCAATATGGTGCCGCGGAAAACGTGAATAATAAAATGATTCAATTGTATACAGAGAAAATATCTATCTCAAAGATCATTTTCAGCCTCTTGTGGAATAAGTAATGTAAAAAAACTTTACTTAAATAACGTAACTAACTATAAAGTGAAGTGTTGTTGGAAAGTGTTAAATGGCGGGTATTAGGCGATGATATGATAGTCGACTAGAACCTAGCCATCATTAGCTTTTAGTAAAAATAACGCTGTGTTATGTGTGCACAGTGTCCCCCTCTAGTACTAGGTACAAGATTCTAATTCCTCTTTAGTTGCTAGAGCTATTAGGAATGTCAACACAAGAATTATGTGCGCAGAATTTTAATAATTCTCGACCACCTACTTCCCCTTTGTTACCAAAAGAAAGGAGTGTTTTTAATTCCCCTTCTGTACTTTTGTAAACATTCTGTAAAAGTTTCAAAAATATCTCAATTGGTAATACAATAATATAAACAATAAAATAATCCCCCATAACCTCTCCTCCTTTGAGCATAGACAAAGTGGGTTGCCACATATGTTCCATTTAGAACTTGCTAAATTTTACAAAAAAAAAACTGACAGTAAATTAATACGCCCGCCAAATCCAAGAAAAACCCAAAATACTTAACCCTAAATAAATAAATACTTATGTAATTAAAACTTGAACGACTTACAGCGCCCATTGCATAAACGTTGAAAATTTAAATAAAAATAATTTGCAACATACATCATAGCTCTATGAAACTGACCATTAAACTATTCTAGAAAAGGTCAAAACTCATAGAAGGATCATCGACTGTGAACAGTGATTACTAAATATTGGCCAGTTTAATAAACGTAAAATGAGTGCTTCATTACTCTGGCCTACTTACCTTGTAGAAATAAGTTTATTTGGATAGACTTAAAGTCCATTAGCGTTAAGAAAATAGTTACGCATCGATCAAGCCCTGGACTTTGACCAATTAGGTTCCACAATTTCGTATAAAACGCTAATTTCTTGGCAACTGATTGGTTAGGTGGCGGGACTTGGTCGATGTGTTGCTATTTACTTAACGCGAATGTCATTCAATGATATTACAATGTTTTAGATTTTTAAATACACAATATTCGTCTTAGTGCACTAACGTCTTTAGAGTGTCAGTGTTGTATCTAAGTGTTTCAAAATGAATGTGATTAAATATATATTCAAAATAATGTCACACACGTAGTTTCACACACACTTATCAAAGTGCCTACATTTTTGGTAAACTTTTTAAACTTTTTTTTAAACGGCTCAAGAAGACTGGACGAGGTTGGTACTTAAGATGGTTGTTGAAGTAATATTAACTTTTAACATGATTTTAATTAAATTTAGTATAACGCGATGAGGGTTCAATAACATACTCATAAGATTAAGAATATTAAAATATTTTTTCAACATCAATTTATTGTTTTAAGTGATGCATTTATTGGGAGAGTTGGAGTTACGTCCCAAGTAGGTTTTAATGGTTATGGTATTACAAGTCAAGAAAAATGTTTTAGATACGCAAATGGAGCAACTTTAAGACATTTAATGATGTATTTTTAAGAATGTATTATTTCTTTGTTTCTATTGCTCCACGTAAAGTGAACACTTCACAAGATGTATTTTGACTTTTGTACTTCATACATACTGAAATGAACTCTATTGTGAATACCATAAGTACTATATTAACAAATGATAAGTTCAGAGTAGACCTTGTGAAGTGTCATCACGAGAAAAAGGATGGTTAGACTCGTAGCAGGTAACTGATATTCTAGATTTATTTTTTTATAATTAATGTTAAACGCGAGTGTAATAAAAAAATCAACGTCACAGAACTATAGAAATAAGAAGATATTAAAAAACTACGATAACAAAATTAAATAATAAACAACAGATAGTGATTACATTATCATATTACAATTTAATGAGGGAATATTATTTATTTTTTAATATATTAAATGTAGATCCCTACATATACAATGACAGTTAATCTTTTTATTGTCTGTGGTCTTAGTAAGAAAGAACTTGTCTATTTGTTCTCGCACTGGTTGCACTATCTCACTTTAGGAGTTCCTCACGTCTATAAATATTACACACAAATGTATCTGTGTGTACTTGTTTGTACGCAATTTAAACCATTCTCAGTGTTTTCAATAAAATCTGTGTCTTAAAATGATGTTTTATTTACCCGTATTTAATTGAGTATATACATGCACACCAAATACCTGCTGTTTTACATGTGTGTTATTCTGATAAATATATTATTATACGTTTAAATGTGTATAAACAGGCAAAAAACTCGTTTTTTTACTTATACGTTTATGAGTTATTATTGTTTCAAAACTATTCTGCGTTATTATTTTCAATTTCTTTAGTATTTTTTATTAAAGTTATTAATAGTTTATTAAAATAACTCGTCCTTCGTACTACTAACCAGGTTTTTCGTTTCCCGTATGTAAATTGTATCTATGTACCTACCTATCGCTTCTAACCGCGAAACTTTTTCAAGCATATCAACTGCAAATAATATCTATAAAGTTAATTTGTTTCTGTAACGTAATTTAAATTTGCAAGGATCTTGAGTTCCCTGCTTTGCTCAACCCAGTGAAAGTCAAATTTACTTTTAACGAGTTCATACTGCTGGCCCCAGGTATCGGTCATTCTAGAGCAATGTCGGTTGTATTATCCAAGTCTCTCATTTCAGTAACGTTCTTAAGATGGAGCTTCTGTCATTGGTCGAGGCTGGTCATCTTCAGACTGCTATTCGTCATTAACAGCCTTAATAGTCCACCGCTGGACATAACCCTCTCCTTAGAAAAGGTTTTGGCCTAATATACCACGCTGGGTTGACGGGTTTGTGTCTAGTTTTTCTTCTCTTTGTAGTGCTGATGTCTTGCCTAGTTTGCTCCCTTAGTCGGCTGTTATGACACCCACGTGATAAATAGACTTCTATTATCTAAATATAATAAAAAGTATATATATTTTAAAACAATATGTTACATAGTCCTCATTTTCAATTTAGGCTTTAAGTAATGTAACAAGTAACTTATAAAAGGCATGTTGATAAAGAGTGTCCTTGGAAATTCATGCCTTTTTCATAGGATCTAGGTATTGGCAACTTTCTTCAGGATTGACGTGTAATCATGGCAATGCATTAATATCTATGATTGTTTCAATTGAAACAAATTATTTTGATTAAAAGTGATGTACCTAATACACTCTGTAAGGTACTAATACAATACTGGATACATATAGACCCCAGTGCAACTGTAGAAAGAGCAGGACCTAGGACCACTCTCTTTATCTGTCTGTGCAGGCTGTGGGACCTATGTCTAAACAAAGGGGCCCCATAACTATAATGTAGGAATAATTGACTCACTTGACAACAGAGATGGGTGCTTAATGATGTCCGAATACTTGTACCACTCTTCAAGATATAAATATTATAAGACAAAAATAAAATTCCACAGTATTTGTTACTCCATTTATATTTCACATTTTATCAACGATCTCTTGTAAACAATCTACGTACGTCTATATAACATCACGAAGGTATATTACACAGAGGAAGGCACTTCTAGGGAGTGATATAATCGATAACGTCTAAACGACATTTAAAAAGGACCATAAAGTCAGTAATGATCTTAGTTTTTTTTTAAAGGCAAAGGACTTGAGAGTGTAAGACTCTTTAAATGAGAGCATTAAGTAAGAACATATGTACAATGTTACCAACTCTCAAAATTTCTTACCACTAAAGTCGAAATGCCCAAAAATTCTAGCTGATTGAATTACTTGTAAAAAAACGCATGTTTCTTTACTATTCAATAAAATTAATTACACGTTATTCAATGTTTAAGGTAATTCGCATTCCAAATTAAATGAAATATTCTTCTGAATTTGATTTAAGAACAGTTTTGGTCGTATATTGTTTATTTTGGTCCTATAATAATTAAAATGCAACCAAAACTATTTTGTTTGTTATTTTCGAGTTTGTTTTTTCATTCTTGTATCTTTCGAATGTTTAACAATAGGGATAATTAACAGATAGCTTATTGACACAATCAATACAACAACAATTTCTTGAACTAAACAACAACCAACATTTCCTATAACTAACTAAAGTGGAAATAAAAACCATATCTTTTATTCTTTTTTTTTAAGACAACTTCCGCACTAGGAATAAATTATGTATCACGGGGGACTTTACAAACATACATGAAACGGACACAAAGAACACCCAGACTCAGAACAACAATTTGTGGATCACACAAAGTGTCGTCCCATGTGGGGATCCCCAAAACACTCAGCCTAGTAGTAAGAGGCGTGGCGACCGCTTAAACCACTACGCCATCCGTGCAGTCGATATTATACATTAATATCTAGAATCCATAGTCAACATAGACTTGTTATAAAACTTTATACTTAAAAGGTGACAATGACTTATTATTTACTCCAATTTTTTGTTTTAATTTTTTTTTAAGAGCCACTGTACCCTGTTTTTTTTTAAATATATAAATCTCTTAAGTATAGAGGAAAATCCCCCCCCCCCCTAAGCTGGTTTTTAATGCTATTTATTGCAACACGAATTCCAAATAAATTAGACTATTTACAACTATGCGACATTGTGTCAATTGCGTGATTAAAATAATATATATAGAGTTAATACGTACATTTAAAAATAATAATATTTGTTTTTGATTTGAAGATATTCTTTTAAAATAATTATGACTTATTCGAACAAAAATTATACAAGTCCTTTGCCTTTTTAAGAGATGAAACTTTATCGTTACACTGTTTTAGATCTAAAAATATAATATAAACCCGTCGTATCTAAAGGTCAATTTCATTTACAGATTTCTAAGAATGTAATATTAATGTCAAATTAAATCTTGCATTAAAATAAATAAAAATAATTATCAAAATAGTACACAAAAAGAGTAAAATACATGATCAGAAGATATGCAAAAGAATAAATAATTCAGTATTACACATAGAATTTACCATACCACGGGGATGCGAACTAAATTCTGTAAAATATATTTTATATTAGTAAACAGACAGACAGTTTTACTAACAGTTAATAATATAACAACAGCATGGACAGTACTTACAAAGATTATTTATGAAAAAAAAAACTAATCAGTAATGACTGTCAGAATGTGTCATTATTTAATGACCCATAATTTGTACTGTTAACAATAAAAATGCAACATTCGGCTCTCCGAATAGACCTTTAAAAGGAATAATTATTCTCTATACAACATAAATCAAGGTAGTTTATATTGTTTAAAGGCAGGCTAAGGAACGTGGCTATAAAGCCTTTACTATATTCAGAACGCTTATAACTAAGCCTGTTTAGACGACATAACAAAAAAAAATAACAGCCTTAATAAATATATGTACATATAATATTCGTCTCTCACGCTATAAGTGTTTGAAAAATAGGGTAGTTTGAAAAATACGGTTATTGTAATTTAATTAAGGGTCGTATTGAAATTAAATAATATACATATAAAACTGAATAATAAGATTTTCGTTATTGCCTAACCATTAAAATATTTATAATGACTTGACACATATCGCGCATGATCGGTCCGGACCGGGACATGTACATTACATTTACTATGGTAACCAGGCTGATATATTTCTAAAGACATTCGTATTGTATATAAATGACACCTATATACAGAACAAATGAATGTGCTCGTCACACAATTGTTTATTCTGGGTGGGAATCAAACCCAGGACCTCAGATTTAGCAGTCAGGGTATCTTACCAATAGACTAACAGAATAGTCATATGATCATAGTAACGTCTGACGACAAAAATTGTTATTTCATACTAAAATAACTTTATAACATTAATATCGATCAACAGTTTTCACACTTAATAAAAAAAATCACTAGAAAACCATGTATTATTCTCACTCCTCCCAGCAATGGGAGAAAGAGACTTAGAAATATCTAATAACAAAATTGCCAGAATCGGCAATCAAACCTGGAACCATACGATCACAACAGAACAGTACAATAATAACATAATCTTATCACTCTTTATTATTCTTATATTATTGATATAACTAATATAAGTAAGGCAGGAAGGAATATAACATTTCAAATCTGCTAATTATATATACTACTTTAAAATAGACGTATTCTTTTAGTAATTATAAAGAGCACTAGAAAAACAATAATAATAATTTAAAAAAATCTATAAATAATTCAATATCGATTAATACATAAATGGATGAACTGAATTAATAATACAAAAAAAAAAGTGTAATTAAAATAATTAAGGCCCTTTTTTTTCAAATCATGTCTGTATCTTTTGTATGAGTTGCGCTTAGCAGGTTAGGTTGTGGAATGCAGCATGACTTATTCAAAGTACTGTATGGTTGTGGAATGCAGAAGTTTATTTATACATTTAGAAACATAAATGTGGTTTAATTACATCGAATGGATATTAGAGCAAATTAAAAAAATCTCGAAAATAATTGACGCACCGAGAATTGTTAAAAATATTAATGCTTTACTGAGATAACATAATTATTAAACATCTTCATATCATCATCATCAGCCTATCGCAGTCCACTGCTGGACATAGGGCTCTCCCATTGCACGCCACTTAGATCCATTTTGGACTTCTCGCATCCAGCTCCTGCCAGCCATCTTGCGCAAATCGTCACTCTTCATATACATATACGTAATATTTTTCCACAAAACACTACAATGTATTTATTTTAAAATTCACTAGTACCGTTTTTAGGCTAAAATATTTATATATTTGCAGTGCAAATAAATATAAATATTTTCATTTCAGTTTGAAAAATAAACGGCGGTGCCTTATTTTCTTTTTTTATATTTATTTATTATTCGTTCGTATTCTCGACATTTATTGTTCGAATAAATTTCGTTAAAACATGAATAAAACGACACTAATCAATATTTTTTCAAATAAAATTAACCGATCATGTAATCATTTGTTTTATTAGCTCCCTCGTCTTAACATGTCTTTACACCACTTTCAATTAACTTCTTTCTCTCGTTTGCAAACGAAATATATTCCTAAAGAGAATTGGCACTAGGCACACCGCCGGCCATACAAGGAACTAGACCGACCAACATAAAAATTAAGGAAATTGAAAATGGCTATAACGATGATATTTTCCCATAAAAATAAATAACATAAGAGCAGCAATACATTGTATAATATACAGTTAGGTATAATATACAACTAAATAGTTCGTCCAACTGTATATTATAATAGTGTTTAGATTCCGCATCATCAACAGCCTAGATATAGGCTTCTCCTTAGAAAGGAGGTTTTGGCCTACTATACCACGCTGGCCAGACGGGTTGATATAGGGTTTGTTTCAAGGTTTCCTTCTCTTTGCAGTGCTGTTGTCCTGCGTAGTTTGTTCCCTTAGTCGGCTCTAACGACACCCACGGGATAAATGGGGGTGGTGACATTCCGTATTCTTAATCCGTCACCACACGGACAAGATTCCGCATGGACAGTTAGTTTTTCGACTTATGAACATATTGTAATTGAACTAACACATTAACACTATATTCGTCTAAATAATTTAGTGTCATTGGTGGTCAGCTATAATTAGTAAGTAAACATTAAAGCTTAGAGTGCGGTAAGTTGACCACTTCGCGCCACCACGCCGCTCGCTCGAACACGCCGGGATGGTTGAAGAATGCTTTCTGGATGTTTTGGTACAACTGAAACAAAATTTTAATCGATATTAGGATTTTTCTGACCTCTGTTTTAGAATTGAAGACTAAGTGCATGAAGGTGATATGTCGCATTTTCGGATTTTGTCATTTTTTGCGTATAGTCTTGAGAATTTCGAAGGTCTGAAGTCATTTGTATTGTTACGAGCGGGGTATACAATAAATAAAAGTTGTCGGTTAATTACTTTTATTGCACTGTATTTACAAACACTCACTATAACAAACAAGAAATCACTATATAACTCGTTGGTCGCACTAGAAATTCACTTCGATGTTAATTCGCTGTGGCGTAAAACGATACTCGCTCACGACACGCTCCGCTTCAATAGCGCTATCGATTTTACTAGAAAGATCCCTAGTATTCGAGAGTCCGTTCCAGACAAATGAGAATATTCCAGTATCGGTTAAGCGTTACTTGCAGCACCATCTAACGATGTAATCTATCAGAATTATTACTCACAATCTCAATGGTTGTACTAAGCTCTGCTCAGACATCACTTACTTCATATTTTTTTTATGTTTTTATACATGGTGTAAGGAACATGTATTCATTTTGAGTCGAAAATCATTCGAATTTTCTGCCGGAAAATTAAACTTTTTATGCAATCAGCTGTTAAAGGTTAAGGTCATTCTCCGTAAGTATCGCACAAAAGTAATTAATTACATGTGTATTCCATGCAAACAGTCTACGTACACTAACACAAAGCCCCCCCGCGCTTCGGCTGTTTGATTAATTACATTGCAGTTTTTTGGTATTTATTAAATTGTATTTGGTAAAATGTTCTGTCTATTCATTGTGATATCATTTTTCATCATTTTTAACCAGAAATATGGAAAACTAAAACAAAATTGATGAATTTGCCGGCAAATTGTAATGATTTTCGACTCGGAATCATGGTCTGAATACACTATTTCAGTATTCGGTACGATGTCCCTTACACCTTGTATGTGGCAACGCCAAGTTACAAACCTGAACGTAGAATTGAAAGTGTGATAACAGGAGATCAACCTTGTAGGGTAGACTCCATGTGGAATATTATTTATTATCATAATTATTGTACGTCACGGCGTTAATATCAAATAGGTTATATCAAGAAAAGTACTCACATTTCCGTCGCTCTTTCCAAGAACCGAGTTGAGCACAAAGTCGGTGGGCGCGAGCGCGTCCACGACGGACACCACCTCGTGCTTCAGCTCGCCGCACAGCTCCAGCACCGCCTCACGCAGTAACCTCGCCAGAGATTCGCCCTGGAATACAATGGAACTTATTTACAGCAAAGAAATATGCAAAAGTTGATAGATAGTATAAAATAAGTAGAACTTCAAGAACTGGCAATAAACTCGCAAAAGTGGGTACAGACAGAAGAAGAAGCAAATGTGTAGCAAAAGGGAGAGGGCTGTTCTATTTATCTTCTTTTGATTTTCTTTATTATCTGAGACACACTGCTATACCTTTGGTAAGTTGCAGATTCTTTTAAAGAGGTTTGGGTCCAATTTTGAAAACAAAAAGTTTTTTTTTTTTAATAGCCCTAATTGCTAACGTAAACATTACTTATGAGCTCATTACCATGATCTAAGGCCATGAGTACAAGTGAGCATGAATGTTTAAAATATTATTTTAATTGTTCAACTCTCGGAGGGAATTTTAGTGCAGTATACTGGACAATAGGTTAACTCCTATGACGTAACTGGATAATAGGCCACTACTGGACATAGGACTCTCCTTAAAACGGAGGTTACGACCTACTATGCCACGCTGGCCAGACGAGTTAGTGTCAAGTTTTCCTTCTCTTTGCAGTGTTGTTGTCCTGCGTAGTTTGCTCCCTTAGACGGCTCTTACACGGGTGGTGACACTCCGTATTCTTAATCCACACGGATAATTAGGACACTTTCAATTGTTGCCATAAAAATAAAACAATTCTTACATGCGCGTAACCTCCTTGATATAACTCCACTAAATGTTGATCTAGCGACCAGAGCCCATATAAACAGAACAGCTTCAACAGCACCGGTTTTAAAGACTCCTCCTTCTTTTCCAGACATTCATAAGAGAACATGAGTGTGCAGTACTCTGCGTAGAGTTTCGTCAACTGTCTCCATTTGTACACCTGAGACCTGGCTCTAGCTTCGAACTTTGACAAACCTTTGGCGATTTCTGATTCATATTTTTCGTCAGTCTGTTTTAATAAATAGCATATTAGCCATTTATATGTAGTAGTTATAACTGGAAGTAAATGAAAAATAATAAAGTCAATTTTTATAAAAGGAATAAGTACTTAAAGTGGAATTTCTTGATAGAAAACTAGCGGTCATTAATTAAAATCATATTTCATTTAACAAGTCTCAGCAAACAACTGTTGATTGGGGCCTTTAAGTACTGATATTGAAATACATACATGGTCCTTCGAGCCGACGAATTTTACTATACATTAATTTATACGTATAAGAAACAGTTGTATCTCACTTATTACAATAGTTTAACAGTAAACTTACATTCTATAGTTTTGAGCTCCTCAGTCTTAGTACATTTAAACCTCACTGCGAAGCACCTCTCCCAGTTCTTCAAGAAAGTGACACTGTTGAGCGGAGAGTCCACTGAGCCGCCGGTCCTGGCTATGTGGAACTGTCTCAGTAGCCAGTTGCCCGTCTGCTGTGAGAGGACATTGTTGTCGCCCTCGTATGTTACCGTTGCTTCGTGATTGCTGCGGATGTCGCCTAGGTTTGCAAACTGGAGAAAAAAAAAATTAACACTTATATTTCTTACTAGCTTCTCCTCGCGGATTTGCTCGTCTAATAGTTAATTTTCCATCCCTAGGGAGCAGAATATATATTTATTTTATTTACATTAACTTAATGCATCACCATCCGACCACATGACCAGAAAAGTGCAAGATATTGAAACCAAACCCCGAGAACGACCCCGAATCACATGTATGTTCGTGGTAACTCGTCAACAAAGAGACGACCCAGGATCGAGCTGCCTGGAGACACATGATACGGAGGGCCGACCCCAAATAAAATGGGAAAGGACCAGGCAAAGAAGACAATAACTTAATGATGATGATGATGATGATGAAGGTATAAGAGAGAATAGAAAATTCGACTTTATTTATGTATTATAATGTTAGTAAGAATAGCAAAAAATCTGTGGCTGTTTGTTGTTGTATGTTGACTGATTAAGAATTCTTTTTTAAGTATATTGATGGATGTAAAGACAAGTGATAAATGTGAATACTTTATTTTGTCCTTTTTTGTTCATTTTGTTTTTATATCTTTTAAAAGAAAAAAAGATTCTAAGCTGTCCAAGCAATTTAATCAGCAGTCAAGGATTGTCATTGGCAATTAAGTAAACTAGTAATATTTATAACCGTCATTAGTCTGTAAGCCTTCCTCCAAACCAAATAAATATAGCACAAAAAGCTAACTTTTAGGTATCCGTGTCCGCCGCAGGCCTCCCTGCACTGCTGCGCGGCGGCCAGCACCGTCCACGAGAGCAGGGGCTTGCTGCACGACACTATCGCGTGGATCTCCGACACCGCCTCGCTCTGGAATTACAACTTACGTTTTATTGAACTACTCAGCTCATAGTTTGGTTGTCTTTATAACGAGAAACCCCAAATCCTTAATGTGTAAAATATTCTGGAAGGCAAGACGAGAACGTCAATTGTCGTGTTAAAATCACGTGTATGAGGATTAATTAAGAAGAACCTTGAGATGAAAATTTCATTCGTATACATCACTATAATCATCATCATAATTTATGATGATATATGATATGATCATCACTATCGCTATATTTTTTTAGTACAAATAAATGTTTTATTTAAATGTTCTGTATTTTTCTATGTACAAGAAGCATGTACCTATAAAAACAAATGTATCTTTGTATTCTGGAAGAACATGTGTTTTGTCTCTCCAATACTAAGTGAGGGATCCTTCAACCAAGCTAGGTGATCCTGCCTGAGGAACCGCGGTTCAAAGGTTTATGTTGACAAGTTGTATTTATGCTAATCGACGGCAGAACTTTCATAGCGAGATGCAGAATTAGTAGTTCATTCGTATTTAGATCCTTAGATGCTAGAACTTACCAAACTATCAACTTTTATTCCGACATTCGATTTCTCGACAATATTGAGGTATACCCGGGTAAAGTTCTCCAAATACATTTTGAAAACTACTGCCGCAGCCACATATCCGAAGAGACGCCATTGCTACAAATTAAAAAAAAAACATTACGTATATTGACAATAAATAATACAACCTTAACACGAAAAAACTCTGTAAGAATAAATAAAAAATGACTCTTATAACAACTAGATTAAAGTTCAATCTAGCTCGTAAGCATTCACCTATAGTATTATTCAACAAGTTCTTTTGTACTGACCGCCTAAGGATCAGTCTGTGAATGCGACTAATACCATGTCCATTAGTCACACTTTTACGCGATTATATTATCTATGAATCAACCAAAGTTGATACACATGTGACATTGGAGATACTACGTAGTACATAAATATGAATAAAGTTGACACGAGGCATGTAATTTTAATCCTAAAACATTTTTTTTACGAAAATTGGCTTATCTAAGTCTAGAAATATTTTGACCGTGGGAGAGCCATTCTTCGGCACGAATAGACCGGCTCGACAAGAGTGATACCATGGCCTCACAGAAAACCGGTGCTAAGCAATTCTTTCGTTGACTTTCACTGAGTGAGTGAGGTTACCGGAGCCCAAATCAGGGGGGATTTGGGCTCCGGTAACCCCCGGGAGGCACTCCAAGCGCAGCAATGCACTTGTGACTTTTGATTTGCAGGTGTCCATGGGCGGCGGTAGTTGCTTACCATCAGGTGACCCGTCTGCTGGTTTGCCCCCTTATACCATAAAAAAAGGCCACATATAACATATAGTACATCATTTATTGATGATGATTTTCGCTTACAAATAATTATATGAGTGTCTATGTTGGTCTGGATGTATATTTCTTTTAAGACAACTCCTGCACTAGGAAAATATCCTATATCGCGGGGAAATTTACAAACATACATGCAACAGACACAAAGTACACCCAGTCTCAGAACAACAATTTGTGGATCATACAAACTGCAAAGCATCAAGTGGCGACAACTATCAAGGTCACGGGCTCCGATTGAGTAAGAAACTTAAGATCCGTATCCGTATCCGTATCCGCGGATCTTGACACCAAATATCCGTCTTCGGATCCGTATCCGCGGATATACTACGATCCGGCACATCACTAATATACTACTGTTTTTGTAACATGTAAAAGGTAAAAATGGTTACTGTGGGTTATCCTTAGGAGATAAACATATACACCATCGTATTTTTTTTGTAGATCATTTTAAGATACACAATTCCGTAGTATATTATTTTGATCTATCTCGTAAGGTTTAGCCAGCGATTGCAACACAAAAACGTTTTTTACGACATCGCATTAGAAATTCTCAGATTTCATCTACTATAATATGCATGTATCTATACAAATAAATAAAATTGGAGTGTCTGTTTGTAATATTAAAATAACCGCTTTTTACTAAATGCATATGTATGTTTACACGGTACATATATTATGCCAAAATAACATTTTTTACAATTTTTGTCTGTCTGTCTGTTTGTTCCGGGTAATCTCTGGAACGGCTGGACCGATTTCGACGAGACTTTCACTGGCAGATAGCTGATGACATAAGGAGTAACTTAGGCTACTTTTTTTAGACTAGCTTCGCCCCGCGGCGTTGCCCGCGTTAATAACAATAAACGCGGGTAACACCGCGGGTCTCAGCTAGTTATAAATATAAATCCGCGTCTTGAATCACTCTTTCTATTGGTGAAAAAAGCATTAAAATTCGTAGCGACGTTTGAAAGATCTAAGCGTACAAGAAAAAAAGCGACTTCATTTTATACTATTTAAAGATGTGTCGACAGTCCGGTTACCATTGTACAGGGCCTCAATTCTATTTTATGTTAACGCCAAGCCACTGTCATTCCATTGACACGCTAGTGAGATGCCATTGAGATGCCACTGACATCGGTCAAAATATCAGTATTCTATTAACATAAACTTAAAGTGTCAATAGACTGTCGATATAGTAATATAGGTCATCAATGATGATATCAACAACATTGCCATACATGGAAAATTAAATAATTTATTTTCTTACAAATTTAAAATGTACCGTTTACCAAACTGTTACAAATACATCGACGACCGATTTGTATCAGTGTCAAGTCATCGGGAGGCTATTGGTCTTACATAGTTAGTAGAATAGGAAAAGTGCAAAACTATTTTTACGACATTCCATCGACAGTCTATTGATACAATAATAAAATAGCAGAATTGAGACCCAGGTTCCGTCTTGTTCTCTAGTTCTTCTTCTCGTTCTGTTCTTCTAGTTTGGGATTATACGGCCATGTGTAGGATATGTTAAGTAATCTTTATACATTAAATGTTTGGATGTGTATGCTTACGTGTAACTGATATTCGATCAGCGGTATCTCGTTGTCTTTGTTACCGAACTGCTTCCTCGTGGCCGCGTACCGTATTGCTATGGTAACAGCGCTTGCTATTGAGTGGCAACTCTCCTGCATTATACCGATACGACCTAGAAATAATAATATTTAATACATATTAACATTTTATTTTATTTATGAAAATTTAAATTTAAAATTAAAATTAATAAATTTTTTAAAGACAACACCCGCATAAAAAATACATCCTGTGTCGCGGCGCTTTAATTCAGTCAAACGGACCTAGACTCTAGTTGTCCTATGAAGGGATCGAACCCATAACCTTCAGCGCAGTAGGTGATCGCTTACACCACTACGCCATCCTTGTAGTCGTATTTATATGGTAAATCAAAAGTTGAAAAGTTTAGAACTTTTTAACTTTTTTTTTTAATTTAGACGCAAGCAAAGGTGGTTTTTTTGGACTAAATCTTTTTTAAGTTTAAAAAAAATCTGATCTAATTGCCTGCATGTATTGTTTTCAGACAGTTATAATTCTGGAATATTCAAAAGAAAGATTGAATAGGTTTTTTTTTGATTAGGCATACACCATCTTTATGCCCATTAGGTGAAATATTTGCATACAATAAATCGTTTTCAAAAGAGTATGAATTATGAATACGGCAAAAATGACTTTTAGTATATTTTTTTTTTACAATAGCTCTTAAAGATTTATAAAATTTTCGGCCACTTTAATATTCCTTCGTTGGTTTGTTGTTGTCTAGTGGTTAGTGACCCTGACTGCTAAACCGGAGGTCGTGGAGTCGATTCCCACCCAGGACAAATATTGTGTGATGAGCACGGTCATTTGTTCTATGTCTGGGTGTATTTTATCTATAATATGTATTTTAAAAATATATAAGTATGTTTATCAGCAGTCTGGTTACCATAGTACAGGCTCTGCTTAGTTTGGGATCAGACGGCCGGTGTGAGATGTGTGAGATATATTATTATATACTCTTACGTCTGTCTGACTATATTACTATACCTGCTGATAAATTCTCTAGCGCTGCCCCCAATATTCTAGAAGGATCTGAAAATGAAGACTCGTACACCCCATCTTCTGTGACGTCGGCTGTTCTGTTTAGCAAGTTTTCGCGAGGTATTCTGTACTGGTTGAATATTATGAATCTGGAACAAATGGCAATGGTAATATAAGGTATTGTTTGTAAAACTTATACACTAGAGAGCAAAGAGTCCGGGTCGCATTGTAGATAACTACATTCAAGAGGTGGACAATAACTGTTTAGAGTGGCCTGAGGACGAGCTGGGATGATGGGTACTGTATTCAACGGAACTCTTCCCCGGTGAGGCTTCTAAAGCTCAAAATTTCTCATAAAGAAATGGGAGGATACTCCTGAATATCGTATAAAAAACTCGGTGCACAACATACCAAACAGCATAATCTTAGTAATGTCAGCATGTGTAAGTAACACAAAATACTATGATACTAACAACTATTTAATTTTAAAATTTGTTTTTTTTTATGAATACGAGTATAGTATTTAAATGTCTACTAAACACAATTCGTGCAGATTTAGTTAGCGAATTTTATGTGACCCGGTTTATTGCTCTCGAGTGTACACTTAGGTGGCGTATAAATAAATATTATTCATTCATTCGTAAGCTTCTTTTTGAAGATTAATTTAATTTTAAACGTATATTTATGTCGGCTAAATACTAGGTAACTTGACTCAATACAATGACTCACGCCCTACTTAGAAAACTGCTAAGTTTCCTTTACTTACGTGCGACAGTCAAGTGTCATAACTATATAACTCTGACGTAGAAATGGATAGTAAAGTGTATGTTTTCTGTCGGTCTGTATATAAATTTTTGCAAAGTTAAGCAATCCTAGCCAGGTCAGTCTATGGATGGGTGACCATTCTTAACACATGAGGAGACCCCTCCGTGCCTTAGAGAGCACGTTAAGCCATCGGTCACGGTTGCTAACGTTAAGGGTAGTTGGGGCCTTAAAAAAGTCCAACAACAGTCTTTTAACAGAACTTCGATATCGCCTATAGTCCATCAACGTCGTGCGCGACCGTCCTGCGGGGTGACAGACGGTGGCGGGGACGAGGTACTCAAGATGTCAGCGGGTAGCGGTTGGTGTAGCGGGGAAGGGAAACACTTCTCTTCGTGTGAAGCCGTGTGCTAGAATGACGCGCTACCTCGCCACTGTCTGTCACCCAGCGGGACGGTTGCGCACGAGATTGCCGGGTTATAGTACTTGGGTTGTGCCCGACCCGAACCTAATTAGGGAAAAGATTCGGTGGAAGACGAAGACTACAGATGATTAGACGCATCAGTACAATTCCCTATCTTTAAAACGTATATGTCTAGTGTAATATATATATATTAATATAATCCCTCGATAGGAATATTGTTAAATCAATCGATGAATATATTTTCTTTGTAGTATTAACGTGATAGCGTACGTGTGATAAACTAAGATAATGGTCGTATTGTTGACTTACCTTTTTAAATTTAGACAGTCCTTTACTGTATTTTTTAGGCTTTAATGTAATTAATTTTTTTCTTATATTTTATGGTATAAGGGGGCCGTGGGAGAGGGGGGGGGGGGTCTTTGGGCTCCGGTAACCTCACTCCCTCGGTGAAAGGCAACGAAAGAATTGCACCGGTTTTCTGTGAGGCCGTGGTATCACTCCGGTCGAGCCGGCCCATTCGTGTTTGAAAAACTTATTAATTGACCTAATAATTTAAATCTTAAAAGTTTTTTTAAGAACACGAGAAAAAGCACCGTTCTTTTCTTTGTCAAACACGACTTGTCAAGTGTGTCAAATTTTTAGTTAAGTGTAAGTTGTCAGCAAAAACTAATAATAATAAAAACAGAATATTATTTGTTGACTTTTACATTTTCATGGCATTAGACAGGAGGATGGCCATAACTAAAACCAGCCCAAACCCCTTGGGGTATTACACATTGCGTCGACCCCGAATAAGTTTGGGCAGGCAAACGAGAACGTTGACAATTTACAATAAGTTTGAGATTCACAAACACAGTGTCCACTATAATGTTTTAGTAATGCCAGTGTTGGCTATAAACGATTGTTCGATACCGTATTATTTAAACATACGTCAAAACGTACGATATCATATAATCATATCATAAGAATGTTCAATGACAAATTATATTCTGTCATTGAACATTCTTTTAGGTGATAAAATACATATCGTTTTATGATTTTGCAATAATAGTTCCAGTTCTTTTCCGTGTGGTGACGGATTAAGAATATAGATTGGCACCACCCCCAATCATCCCGTGGGTGTCGTAAGAGCCGACTAAGGGAACAAACTACGCAGTACAACAGCACTGCAGAGAGAAGGAAAACTTGATACAAACCCTATACCAACCCGTCTGGCCAGCGTGGTATAGTAGGCCAAAACCTACTTTCTAAGGAGAGGCCTATGTCCAGCAGTGGACTGTTGAAGGCTGTTGATGATGATGATGATGAATAATAGTTCCACAATTAAATTATTATTATCTTTCGTTGCCTTTCACTGAGTGAGTGAGGTTACCGGAGCCCAAATCCTCCTTCCGCTGACTCGAGCAGGAGGCACTCCAAGGGCAGCAACGCACTTGTGACTTTTGAGTTGCAGGTGTCCATAGGCGGCGGTAGTTGCTTACCATCAGGTGACCCGTCTGCTCGTTTGCCGCCTTATACCATAAAAAAAACCTTACGTTTTATAATTCTCACATAGATTTTTTTTACTAGCTACTTTTTATTTATTTTATTCATATATAGTTGATTGAGTACTGTAACTCTGCTTTTTGTATTATTTGTCAACTAGTAGAAATTTAAAGATAATTTCAACGACTTAAAATTTATTTATTTTTAGAATATAAACTTTTTTAAGTAGCTGTAAAGACTCTTTTACAATAGTTTTTTTTTGTTTTTCTTCGATTTACTCTTTAGGTATGAACTCTATGTATCTATGTACCAAAAAAGTTTACGTTTAGATTGGTCAAGATTTCGTTAGCGTTATCAATTGTTTAAAAAACATTTAATACATGTTTTAGGGTTATGTAGTTCTAAAAAGGAACCTTGATTTCGATACGTCAGTTTGATCAAGTTCTTCATTGTTTACAATAGGATAAACTACGGAACCCCACACTGCCCGTGGCCCGAGACGCACTTGGCCTGTTTATAAATTTTATCACAACTGATAACTCTTGTTCCATAAAAGATAAAACTTGGATAGTACCACAATTCACTAAATCTAATTAAATTTAAATGGGATTAAACGTAAAATATACCCTCCCAAATTAAAAAGTTCTGAGGCAACTAACATTAAAAAAAATGAATTGAGAACTTCCTTTTTTAAGATGGTAGGTAAGGTTAAAAAACATCGATGCTATTCTCGAATATAGACATAAATATACTTTTCTTGTACAAATGACGTAATAAGTGATAAGAGACAGACAGATAAAGGAAGCCTTGATATTTTTATCTCATAATTTGGTGACAGTTATTAGAAATAATTTAGGTACGTGTACACTATACTAGCCGGTACTGACAGCATCGCTTTCTTAGATGTTGTTTTTCTATGCCAAGTTTTATGATTATCCCTTTTAATTTTATAACTCTGTCTGTCTGTTACGCGGTCACAGCTAAACCGCTTAGCTGATTTTAATAAAAATTTGGCATGAAAATACTTTGATTCTCTACACGCGGACGGAGCGATGGTTTTATGAACTGAGGAAACCAAAGTGTGTTGCACTTACCCATTGTCAATCCCATTGACGCCGATCTTCTCTCCCATATCTCCCACTATTAACCCCGGGTAAGTTTCCAAGGTCTCGGGGTTTCTGATAGGAACTACGAACCCGTGCAGTCCATGGTTAGTGCCGTCCGGTGTGATCAACTGTGCAAATAACAATGTGTGTGTGCAAGTCCGCCCTGTAAAAAAAGAAATATTTTCAAATTAGAACAGATTTTAAGTGAAAAAATTTGGCGCTGAAGAATACATTTCAAAGATTTGAATATTGAATAGGGCCGTTCCTCCTTCCATTTTTTTTTTATTACAAGTTCAATCTTTGAAGAGATTATCACAAAAAGTTGAATTTAGAACAGGGCAGACCATCGATTTTTTTTTAAATTGTGTGAATTACAACATACAAGATTATTTATTTTTAAAATGTTTATTAATATTATTTTTGCTCTCTGAAAACCTGTAAAATTAAAGAAAAGATTTAAAGAAAATAAATACTTATTACATATTTTTTTATATCGTTTGCGTCGTATTATCGGAAATGAGGTTTGATATTAGGTTTTTTTATGTGAAATTTGTACATATCCTATTGTTTAGTAAATGTAAAATAAATGTACACCGACATTCAAGCCTGATTCACGTTATTCAAGGCCTTCATAACCTTATGAATTCAGGATAACATGATTCTAAATCGCTGTAAACACATTATTATTCATAGTGCAGTTTTAATACAAGTATTAATTGTTGTGTGATGATAGGTGTTAGCCTCAGAGAGATGGGTGGCTCTAAAAGAAACTAGGCAAAATTCTGTTAATTTATTAATATAATTAGAATAATGCACTTTTATTCTAATTACATTAATAAATATTGATAATTATCACACATTTTAAAATAAATCTACAAAATTAAAACTGAAAATATTTTCTACAAAATATGAACGTAACGACAATATTTTTGTAAAAACAACAAGTTTTTTTTTTTTGACAACTCTCGCATTAGGAATATATCCTGTGTCGCGGGGGACTTTACAAACATACATGAAACAGACACAAAGAACACCCAGACTCAGAACAACAATTTGTGGATCACACAAAGTGTAGTCCCATGTAGGATCGGTCCTACAGCACTCAGCATAGTAGTAAGCGGCGTGGCGACCATTTAAACCACTACGCCATCCGTGCTCTTCTGGGCTTGGAGCTTCTGAACGTTTGCCAATTATCGGCACGCATGTAAACTAGGCATTATAGTAGACACATATAATGTGTAACATCTGACGTTTCACCTACCATTTGACGGACAACACTTGCAACGCGCTCATTGGCCAAATCAAGTTAAGCGTGCGCTTTCTCGTCATCTTGTTACACATTTCCGTCCCTTTTCACGATATTACTTGCAGAAAAGCGCTAAGAAGATTGTTACATATCAAAAACGTATTATTCTTTAGATATACCTTTTTAATGGATATTAATGTCAGTGGATATAATATTAAAAGCCTTGAAGTGATATACAATGTAGATATGACTACTTGAATAAATCATACAATCGGTCAATCATTCTCATTTGTAATATCTTTCACACAATACACTAAGCACAAAATTGGATTGATAAGATTATTCAAAATAGCTACAGCTTTTTTATATGTCAATCGGTTAGTAGCTACAGGTCTTCTTCCTCTTCCTCCGAGCCTTTTCCTAAACTAGGTTGGGGTCGACTTTAGGTCTATTGGCATACGGCTGAACTTCGAATGTTTTTTTTTGTTTTTTGACGACCGGATGGCGTAGTAGTTTGTGTAACGGACTGCTATTTCAAAGGTCGCGCGTTCGATTCCCGCTCAAGTCAAACATTTGTGTGCATGAACATTTGATGTTTGATTTGGTCTGGGTGTTTCTATGTATAATATGTATGTATTTACAAAAAAAAATGTATATATGTATTAGTATATATCAGTTGTCTAGTACCCATAGTACAAGCTCAGCTTAGTTTGGGACTAGATGGCGTTGTGTGTATTTGGTAGAATATTATTATTTTTATTTTATTTTGAACTGCTATCAAACCTCCACAAAACAAGTACTAGGAGATATGGATGTTCTGTAGTAAGACTGATGTCGGACTTTTTAGGGTTCGAACTAGCCGGAACGATTACCACAGATGTTCGCATGGCAACTGGGACCGGCGGCTTCACGTGCTCTCTAAGGCATGGAGGGGTCTCAATGTGTTGATAATGGTCACCCATTCAAAGAATAAGCTGGCTTCGATTGCTTAACTTTGCAATGTGTTATCCTACTCGATTATCACTTGGCCACGAACCCCTGGCTAGTAGCTACAGTTAGCATGATATACCCATTTTCTCCCTAAATTAGACAAAATTATACTATAAAAAGAAACTTACAGCTTTTTCTAGTGAAATCTATGACTAGTAAAAAATGAAGAAACCGGAAGAATCAGAAGGTGTAATAATATAATGTTACATAAGGTTTTACCTAGATTACCAACCCAGCATTTAGCGGCCTCGAAGTCTGGCGTGTGTATCACGAACTGCTTCTGTTGAGGGTCGTACGTCGCTGTCGTACGCATGAGGCGCGCGTCCGAGCCGTGCGCGATCTCGGTTAGAGCAAAACTGGCCAGCGTCTGCAACAAAAATATATAGTTATTTATCTTCGGAAATAGTTGTTTCTTTTTTAAGTGAATGTAAACCGCTTCGTTACGTAACGCGTTACGGCACAAGTTTGTCTAGCTTCCTTTTCTGTAGGCAGGCAGGCTCCTCCTCTCGACTGCTTATTATAGCTACCATAAGCCAATTGTTACTATTACAGGACTTAATATTGATACTAATAATATACATACACAAAATTCTAATGTACATATTCAAGAATTGTAACTAAGAATTAAATATATTATATAATCAATAAAATATTTTATTAATACATAACCTTTCCTTACATTATCATATTAATATACATAAAATTAAGGTAATAACCTAAGCTTTACTCAAGTTAAACAATTTCAATATTAAATAGTTCAACTTAGTTTACTCGTAAGTTATCGCTTCTGTCGGGCGTCCCGACACGCACACGTTTTTTAATTTTAAAGTAATTCATTTATTTTATATTTACATGATATGTGATGTTGGAATAGTTTTGTTTATTGATGTAGGTGAGTTCAAGATCGGGCAGACTAATAGGAGATCCTATAAAAAGACGCATGGAATGTGTAAAACACGAAATGGTGAAATAAGGTTATTACTTATCATTACATTACATACTGAATTGAAATTTGAAAAAAGGGCAGGATGGTGAAAATTATTTACATACAATTTTTATACACAAATAAATAATACATGTTACAGTAAATCTTCATAAAATACAGAAGTAAAATATAGGCAGCCAATATAGAAATGATAGTAATTGATCTAGTCTGTATTTTTTCTTAATTTCTTTTTTTATACAAGAAAGCGGGAAAAGAAGTAACTCGGATAAACCAAAATACTTAATTATTTATTGAAACTTCATGCAAACATACTGCATAAGGCAGACCTTTGGGTGTTGCTGTGTGTTGCTTTTTAGGAGAGGCCTATGTCCAGCAGTGGACTTTTATAGGCTGTTGAGTGATTGATTGATTGTGTGTGGCAGGTGTATATTTGGAACAAATATTTATTTGTGTCTGCTTACCATGAATGTTCGCCGTGTCCAAGACAAGAACGACCACGAATTAATATGCATAACGAATTTCCGCAATTGCAGAAGATCGTAACTACGACTTCTCATAAGAAATCATTAATACATAGACACAGGCCTTTTTTGATCATGTCTGTTTAAAGAGCCATAAATTTGTTTAAGGGAACGTTTATACTACGAACGAACGTACATATTCAGGGGAGGAGAGTTGGTCTTCAAAATACCACGTCACAGTCTCGGGTCAATGGTCACATGGTTATTCATTATCATATATGGCAAGTCTGAATAAATAAAAATACGAGCCAATTTGTTTTACGTTCTGTTCGCGAAAAATGATTTAAAACCATATTTATTAATTAATACGTGTAAAACGTAAATATTACGTATGGTCACCGAGGACCCCCTCCTCCCTGGAGGGGGTAAAAAGTGGAAAAAAAATCATTATGTAGTATGGGTAAGCTTCTAAGGAGTATATTTATGTCGATGACAAAGCTCGAGGTAGTTCGAACTATGAGCTCTTTCAGTGCAAGCTAATACCTCTATGTAATCACTCTACTAAACAGGTATTCCATTGTACGATTACTAAATTTACTTATTTTTAAAAGACATTTAAGTTATTCTACGAATCGAAATAGTTTACATAAGAAGATCCGCTATAAATTTAAAACAAACCGGTAGTCTATTAACTTGCTAATTCAGAGTTCTATCTCTGTATGTGCGTCACAAAATGTTTTAATACATACTTTGATAACATATTTTTACGCAATGATGTAACATGGCAGACGTATATAGGATTTGGTTGTTAGTACTGGTACTAACAAGTTTATTACCGATTTGTAGGTACTAAACCCATGGTTGCTTGTAAAAGATTGCCACAGTGCAATAAGGCCGAAAATTGTATTAACCGCATTATATTGGTTTTTTACTACTCTTTATTAAATTAAGTGTATAATTAAAAGGTTTCCCATTGTATAGCCGCCCATATTACTCAGGATTAAACAAATAGATTAGCAGTTTATATATACCTCGAATACACACACATATTATATATAATAATAATAATATATTTTACTACATTCTCACAACGCCATCTAGTCCCAAACTAAGCAGAGCTTGTACTATGGGTACTAGACAACTGATATAAATACATTATATACCTTTTTTTTCGTAAATACATAGGTACATAGTATACATAGAAACACCCAAATCAAACATTAAATGTTCATGCACACAAATGTTTGACTTGAGCGGGAATCGAACCCGCGACCTTATGAATAGCAGTCCGTTACACAAACCACTATGCCATCCGGTCGTCGTCATTATACACATACTATTTTATTATTTATCGATATGAATCACACACACACGTGTAAAATACATACAGTTTTATTGTTTATCGACATGAGTCTATAAATAATAAAATTGTATGTATTTTACATGTGTGTGTATTCGAGGTGTGTATTCGAAGTCTGTCATAGACACTGGCACCCGCGCTATGAGTGTCAAGATGCGTGATATGGATCGCGTGATCGAGTCTCATCCCATGGTAGTTTTAACTAATATTCATCTCTTAGAAAGTGGCGGTGAAGGATTTTAAAAGATCTACATTTGATCAGGAGGCGGAGGTAGATAAATAGATAGATAATACTTTATTTGTACACCAGGGTTTTACAGATATTAGATTTAGATTAAGACATCGGATATGCAGACATGCACATGCATATAAATATATTTTATAGTGTACTAGCTGACCCGGCAAACGTTGTATTGCAAAACAAAGCAAAATTAGGGATGGGTCACCCTTTTTAATTCAGAATAATCTAAATTTTAAAAATTCAGAAATTTGTGGGAGAGCCTTGCTTGGAACATATGGATAGGCCCGATCCAAATCTAAAACCATATCGCTATCTTTCTCTGTCGTCCTGATTCTCAAGATTAAGCCATTAAAAATCAAATTAATAAAAAAAAAAGATCGTAGTGAAATAACAATAAAAAATTCAGGCAGAAAGAGCCTCGAAAAGAGATTTGTCTCCTAAGTCTATCTTAACCTTATAGTCACTTACCTCTCTATTTACAAATGTGGACTGGTAGAACTTGAGATGCCTCTCCGTGCCCAGCGACAGCAGGGCATTCGAAGGCAGGTAAATTCCTATGGCCATTTTTACCGAAACACTAGGATTTAGGGACTGGATGGCCTCGTTTATTGTCATTATTGTGCGGGTCTGAAACAAAAGTTAATTATGTGAAAATCAGAATTTGTGATGAACGATAAAAATTAATTGCCTATTGTCTCCAAAACTTTTTATACGTTCTTTATTAATATAATAAGTGAATAATATAAAAAAAATATAGTATAAAACTAGTATCAAAAATAAGTGACATCTCGTTTAAAATTTGATAAACATGCACTTGGACGCCAAAAAATCTAACGGCATCAAAATCGGTTTAGCCGTTTAGCAGTTACGAGGAACATAACTCTTTTTTGGCTTCATCAAGGAGTGTATACTCGTAGAAGAAAATATTATAAGAAACTAGCTAGTACCCGGCACGTGTTGCAACGCTACATAAATTATAAAAATTACGAAAAAAAATATAGACTTTTGGGCCAGGAACCCACCCTCTCAGGCTGGTGTCCCTAGAACTCCCTATCAAAGTTTTGTCACAATCTGATTAATGGTTTCGGAATGTATAAATACATAAAGCACAAACATAAAAACATTGTTTTTATATTTATATCAGTATCTATAGACTGTCTATCCGTTTTTCAAGACTGAGTCATGAAAACAATCTGTCTTCATGCGTCAGTATGTTAAACGATTTAAAAAATTATAAATAAATCACTATTTTAAAATAGGCCGAGTGAGTTTATTGTCACGTTTAATCACCTAGCTGCGCCCCGCAGTGTTACCCGCGGTTGTTGTACCTTGCTCATCTCACAGGAACTATCCTCCTCCTATTTAATACTATAATCTATCTCTGTGCCAAATTTCATCCAGATCCGTTTAGTCGTTTTGCTTGAAAGAGTAACAAACATCCATACATTCATACAAACTTTCGCCTTTATACTCGTAATATTAGTAAAAATATTCTATTAAATGTAATCATTGACTTTCATAAATTTTACTTCGTAATTTGATGGAACTGCGATTGCATTTCGATTCCATTAAATTACACCTCCGAACAACTGGAAACTTAGACCTTGATTGGAAGACCTCGACTAAGTAGCAGTTCTATGTTTAGTTTCAGTTTTGTATAATGTATTACACGTTAAATACAGAACACATTTAAATAATAAATTGATTAAAACTGTAGTAGGTACCTAATAGAAATACGTTAAGTATTAACCTCAGGTGTCACGTACTAATACTATCTAAAAATATTATTTTCATTTAGTTTTTGACGAAAATGATTTTAAAAACATATAGTTTTCACCCAAAAAATATTTTTGGTGACTATTTTCCCGTGACTCCGATACATTAAATATCGACATCTGACAAATGTAACCGCACCGGGCCTCAATTCTGCTATTTTATGTTCACGCCAAGCCACTGTCATACCACTGACACGCTATTGAGATGCCATCGAGTGGCCATTGGCATCGGTATAAATATCGGTAGTCTACACTAACTCAGTGTCTTTACAGTGGCGATGGAATGGCAGTGGCTCATCAATAACAAAAAGATTGAAATATTTGGAAAAATAAATAAATTATTTCCTCAAAAACACGTAATATATTTTCAAATTATAAGGAAATGATTTATTTATTTTTCCAAATATGGCAATCTTTTTGATATCACTACTGTTAATAAACGAGTTCGAACCGAAAACCAGCGCCGGGCCTTCGCTTGGCAAATGAAGAACTGGACGCCCATTTGGTAAAGCGGTGAGACACGGAATAAGTTACATAGAAATTGTAGGCACCCTAAATAGATATTCTGTTTCACTTTATAAATGGGGTGCATGATTTTAGCTTTGTGAGCCCAACTATGGGTGGATATTACCTTATATTGGTGTGTCTGTACCAAATAAAATTTTCTTTCTTTAACATCTAATACATTAAAATCGGCTCAGCCGTTTAATAGTTATCTATACAAATAAATAAAACTAAAGTGTGTGTTTGTAATGTCAATTTAATAGGTTTTTTTCATGCTCGCACGGTTATTTGCACGATACCTTTGCCTAAAACCACTTTTTTTGTATCTGTCTGTTTGTTTGTTTTCTAAACGGCTGGACCGATTTTGATAATATTATACTACCAGGTAACTGTCATAAGGAGTAAATTGGACTACTTTTCCTCTCAGAAACACCCTTTTTTCATTTTGCGCGGTTCGGGAATCGAACTCACTAAGGCAAATTCCACGCGAACGTAGTCGCGGGTACCAGCTAGTGAGAAATATATGAACAGGTAGGTACACATTAGTGATCTAAATGAAACGGAGAATACTTATTCCATAAATGTGACCATCAGAACCATAGTTGATAATTAGGAAGACCTGGCTTTGACTTTTTTATGGCATAGTATGTGTTGTCTAATGGTAAGCGACTGCACCCGCCCATGAAGCCCTGGAACTCCAGAGACAAAAGAGCTTCACCGACCTCAGTGTGTGTGGAGAGGGGAGGTGGGGGAGGAAAACGATTTATTCGATGAAATAATTGCTTAATACAGGTTTTCTGTGAGTAAATAGCTAAATAGTTTTAGTTTAGTTTGAATTATTCAAAAAAACTAACAATAGTATAATAGTAGGTACCCAGTACTAATACGTTATTATCAACTTGTGTGTCACGAACTGGTAGTATCTATAGATATAATTTTTAACGATCGGTCAGGCATTAAAAAAAAACACGATTTCAAATTTAAATGCATACGCATTTATAAAATACTAGCTGACCCGGCAAAAGTTGTATTGCAACACAAAAAAAATTTAGGGATGGGTCACCCTTACCATTTAGGGGTATGAAAAATAGATGTTGGCCGATTCTCAGACTTACCCGATGTGCACACAAAATTTCATGAGAATCGGTCAAGCCGTTTCGGAGGAGTACGGGAACGAACATTGTGACACGAGAATTTTATATATAAGAATTTACACCACACGTCACTCAGCGTTATTTTACTGCAATTTTTCAGTATGCATTCTTAGACAGTATGCATTACTTAGACTTGTTTTGATATCAATAGATGGCGCTACGGGATTCACATTTTTATAAATCGCACTATCAAAGGTCTCCGAAGGTATTTTTTAGATTTAAAAATAAATCTCACTAGCTGATGAACTCATTTATACATCAAATAACTTGTATTGATGCGAAACTTGTAGTCTAAAACTTCATTTACTTTTCTATAAGTGATTAAAAAAGACTAACCTTGCCTCTAAGTGTCTCGCCTTGATCGTTCAGAACCATTAGCTATTGTATGAAGACAACGCAGTAAAAATTACGTAGTCAATGTTAATCCATTTTTGGTTGGTGGTGATTTTTACCATTTAGGTCGGCTCGTTTTGTTGTAATTCACCGTATGAGTGAGTATACCGGTTGCCCAGTTAATAGCAGCTTCCCCCCCAGCCCCGTAACTTTGAAGGTATCATTCGGAGGTCGACATTGCATTTGTGTTCATGGGTGACGTAACTGTCTGTGTGGTGACGGATTTAGAATACAGATTGTCACCACACCTATTCATCCCGTGGGTGTCATAAGAGCCGACTAAGGGAGCAAACTATGCAGGACAACAGGACTGCAAAGAGAAGGAAAACTTGAAACAACCCCTATACCAACCCGTCTGGCCAGCGTGGTATAGTATGCCAAAACCTTCTTTCTAAGGAGAGGCTTATATCCAGCAGTGGATTATTAAAGGCTGTTGATGATGATGACAATGATGGGTAACGTTGGTCGTTGAACCCGTGCTATAAAAAATCTTGAATGAAGTTTAGTTTTTTTACAGAATACGAGTGCCTTTCCATTAATTCGTAAGATCTGAAAGCCCTATTTTATAAGATAAGAATTCTAGGCATGTATCATATCTACAAGCTAAACGGCAAAAAAACTAGTAAATATTTTATTGTAAATACATAATCCAATAACAATACCAACTAACTCTTAACTGGCACACAGAAAAGATAACACGTACAGAAATCTTACTCATTGAAAACTTAAATAAATAGCGACTCTCGCACCTATATTATTAAACGCAAATTAGAATGTAGAAATGAAATAACAGTCCATATTGAAAATAAAAAACATTCGGTAACTGTTAGCTTGCTCGTGTTTTTTTTGTCGAATCAAAAGTTAGTACAAATACGCCTACTTTAATACATCTGAGGTAACTGCGATGCAAATGGAAGTGATATACTCTGGCTGGAATGCTTTAAATGATTATTTTGTTTTGTTTTGTTTATTAGGAATAAAAAACAGTTACATGTAAATCCTCTTTAAACTATATAGAAAAACATTACTGAGGTATAAACACATTGTTCACGGATTAATAAGAACAAATTTGAACGAAGCAAATCAGAACATCACTGTAAATGCGCATGAGCGCAGACACTAGGTACTTATATGTAAATGTACAAGCACGATATATTAAACTCAAATTCAGATCTAAGCAACACATATGGTACAATATATTCGTATTCTATTCAATTGGCAAGGCGGTTAATAATTCAATAGCGTGACTTTTAAATTGGTTATTAGAAAGAAAAAAAATGTCAATGTCATTGAAACATTTGTTCTACGTCACTACCAGTCGTCGAAGAGGTATGAGGATAGTGGAAGGGGCTCAAAGGGAGGAGCTCACTTGTGACTCTTGAGTAGCAGGTCTCCAATCGGTTCAGCGGTTCTTGATTCCCCATAAAAACTTCCGTTTTAGTATGATTTCTGGGATACATACTACTCTTTGTCCTTTCCCGGGACTCGGACTATTTCTATACCAAATTTCATCAGAGACAGACCGACACACCTTCGCATTTATATTAGTATGAAAGTATGGATAAGGCAAAGAGTATTTCAAAATCTATTATTCCTGTAATGAATACTAATAAAAAATTAATATGTATTCACTTACCCGTATACTATAGCTCGCATTGACCATATCTTTAGTGTGAAATTTGTACTCGTTAATTTTCTTTAACTGCAGTTGTGTGATGCGCTTCTGTTCCTCCACGGATGGGGTCACCGTGTTGTGTGCGAACAATGGGTCCTTCTCCAACGTGTGCCATATTTTGTACTGCAACAAACGAAAACCAATGCTCAGTATTATCATCTCAGATTAAGATCAGGGGCTGGAGATTAGGGACTTGGACTTGAACTTGTAACTGTCCGTGTGGTGTCGAATTAAGATTACGAAATGTCACCACCCCTATTCATACCGAGGGTTTCGTAAGAGCCGCCTAAGGGAGCAAACTACACACGACAAAGGCACTAAAAAGGAAGGAAAACTTGACAGAAACCCTATACCAACCCGTCTGGTCAGCGTGATATAGTAAGCGAAAACCTCCTTTCTAAGGAGAGGCCTGTGTCTAGCAGTGGAGCAGTGGATATCATCATCATCAACGGATGATGATGATATCCACTGCTCCACTGCTAGACGTTGATGATGCCTAGCCTTCAATGCCGTTGATGATGATGATATATTTATAGAATAAATTTTTAATCAACTTATCGCTAAGTTTACTAAAAAGGTGCCACGACTTGAAGCAATTTTTGTTAGGGAACATAATTCCATGGTATATTTGATGGAAGACATACGATATTTGTCTTTAAACGACTATATTCATAGCAATGTGTTAATGTCCGATCGCCTGGACGATAAGATCGCAAGCTTACAATCCAGCAGTTCTGTTCAATCGATTAGAAGCTATTCGATTTTGTAGCGGATCGATTCAAAGCATTAGTTATCAGATTTTAGAATTCTCAAGTTTTCAATGTATCTTATTTAATAACATTTTTTATGGAGGTGAGATGGTGAAGCCTCCCCGGCATAACAGCTCTCCAATTTGCCCAGCCTAGTTTGGGTTCAGACGACCGTGTGTGAGGTTATTATATTATTATATTTAAACACATTTCTCTCAACATTGTGTGAAGCAACTGATTATGAATCTGACATTCTTGCAAATTAGGTACATAGCGTTAGTTTGATTAAAATTGTAGGTACCTATGTATGATTATATTGTTTCCACTATGCCTATTGTACTCGTATTATAAATAGGGCTGTTTTATATCATTCATTGTTATCGTTAAACTGTGTACAGTGATTTAAAAATTGACCTATACAATTTAGCAAAGTTTATTGAGTTAAACAGTTCAATGTTGGGAATACATATTGCTTGCATATTATACTCCGAAAACAGCTACTGGACTAGGATACGGGATCGACGGGCCCGTTGGTCTATTGGTTAGTGACCCTGACTGCTAAAGCGAAGGTCGTGGGTTCGATTCCCACCCAGAACAAATATTTGTGTGATGAGCCCGATCGTTTGTTCTGTGTCTGGGTGTAATTTATCTATAATATGAATGTATTTAGAAATAGATAAGTATGTTTATCAGCAGTCTGGTTACCATAGTACAGGCTCTGCCTAGTTTGGGATCAGACAGCCGTGTGTGAGATGTATGAGGTTATTATTATTATTATACAACCTTGATTTTACAGAAGACTGCGACTAGCACTACTAGCCGCGTTGTCAGGGTATAAGAAGGATCAGTAAACTTACCAGAATATGGAGAAAGATTGATCTATAGAAAAGGTGGCATAGTTTTTTGTTTCGGCAAATGAGCGGACACAATACCTATGTAAATATGGTTGGTACTGAACGATTGTCTCTCCTGGCGTTAGGATTTTACACTCTGATATTGCTTATCATGTAAATTGACTGTTTATTTGCTAAAGCTAAATTTAAGAAAACACTGCGACTTAAGTAAGATGATTATGATTGGACAATGTGAAACTGATGGGGCTTTACTATTTATGAAGCAGAACCTCTCGTAGCATTCTTCTGTAAGGTCATTTCCGCTAAATGTCTTTCGGACAGACAGCTACGGATTAAAGGGTATATACAAGTAATTACCGGTTACTGGCGGTCCACTCTAATTTCAGACCCTAAATTTTATTGGTGTGACTTGTTCCAAATATTTTACTTTGAAATGAATATAACCTACATCGATTTATGATGAATAATAATAATAAACTGTGTTCTTCGTTCCTTAATTTTAAACCTTAGCGGTGGCAATTTTTGTTAAAATTTGAATGGGAAGTAGACATACCGTTTAAAAAAAAAAAAAAAATTCCAAATCATTTCATCAATGTCGGAGTTCTGAGAAAACAAACTTAAATAAAAAAAAGCCGTGTGGTGTCGTGGGACACCCGATAGGAACGAAGTTGTAACGATCGAGTAAAACTGATTCGGCACATTTTAATTACAACGCCATCTATGAAAGCGGCTATTACCTACATATTTTTCAGTTGGTTTCTAATTAAAACAATTTATACATTGGTAAAATCATTGGTAAAACGCGCGATGAGGAACTTCGTTCCAAAAACAGCTGATGTAAGAACTGCCTTTTTAGTATTCGGTTAAAAATCCAATGTTATTGTGATAGATATTCAATGTTAAGAAATGAAACAGAAGAGTTAACTCTCTCACACTATCCAATGCTTTTTATTATCAACTAATTACAAGTTAATGTCTTGAACCAGTGCCAATGCAACATTGTTACTACTACTCTGCCTCGTTTCTTCATATTTACATTTGATTCAAAAATTATTGTACTTTTTGAAAGGAACTGTATACCTAGGAAACCACTATAAAATTAAATTAATTAAAGCTACAGGAAACAGCTAGTCTTTAACCAGTATAAAATCGCTTTTTGTGTTGTACGCTTAAATCTTTTCAACTAAGCAACAGATTTTAATGCGGTTTTCACCAATAGAGGGAATGATTCAAGGGGACGGTTTATAAGTATGATACATGCATATTATAGTAGAGGCAATCCGAGAATTTCAAAGATTTGTCGTAAAAAACTTGTTTTAATGCGCTTACATAGCAAAAGATGGCTATACCTGACGAGATAGACCAAAATAATGTACTAGGGAATTGTATATCTTACAAAGATCTACAAAAAAGTGTATGTCTACCTCCTAATGATAACCCACAGTAACCATTTTTATCTTTTAAATATTACAAAAAAATAGGTTGTTTACGAAGCTATTTTAAAGAATACATTATTATTCCTTATTGAAATAAGTTGGATACGTTCTGTATTTAATGTAGATTAAAATTGCTATTTACAGCATATTATTACAATGAATAGAATATAATAGCTATATAAAGATAATATGAAGAAGATATTAGAGATTTAAAGTGGGGAGGCAAAGCGGCCGTCGCACTTCGTGGATGGCAGCGGCCGGCAGAATTGGAGCGGGCCTATAAATATTGCATATAAAGATGTCCTGTAGTGTAGTCCTATCATAATAATAGTATGATTAAGTACTCCACACTGACACCACTTTAGTAGTATTAGTAGCGTCTACATTGCACCCGTCCGAAGACAGGAGCGGATCGGTAGTATCGTATAAAACATGGAGGAGTAAAGATGAAGAGCTCAGTGGCATTGGTAGAGACTCATGTCCAGCTGTGGACGATGAAAGGCCATTAATTATGAAGTCTGATAAAATTCCCAGAGATATCATTGCTTGGTTAAAACGCAGGTTCAGCAATACGGCAATTTTAAACTACTAGTGAAGGCACACCATTGCAGATGGTACGGGTCAGATATGACATTACGGTTTTAATCAGTCCCAATATATTAATACATATAAGACTATACTTTTTATGGGCTTGTTGGTTTAGTGGTTATTGACTTGAACTGCTAAGCTAGAAGTCGTGGGTTCTATTCCCACCCAGGACAAGTAATTGTGTGATGTGCACAATCATTTGTTCTGTGCCTGGGTGTAATTTACCTATTATATATATTTATATTATTATTATTACTGGTAATCTGATTGAAATGATGACCTGAGGGTTTTCCTACATTTTAGTTTTGGTTTAGTTCCTTTTCAAATTTACACAACCCAGAGTTATTTCAACTAATATAATAAATATGAATAGTTTATTTGTTTGTCAGTTTAGAATATTTAGATGAATGCGCTAATCACAGGTACTACTAGTTTCAAATTGTTTTTTTTTTTTAAATGTAATACACGGCTACGATTGCACGGGTCTCATCAATAATAATATAATATATGAAACACATCTCACACAGGGCCAGACGATCCCAACTAGGCAGAGCCTGTACTATGGTAACCAGACTGCTAAACTGCTAACACTATTTGTCCTACCCCGGGATGTGTCTCAGACATGGGGTACGGCAGGGAGGACTCCAGAAGTCGCCGATGCGTACCTGGAGCTCCTCCCGACTGCCGAGGTAGGCCGCCGCGGGGTTTAGTGGGTAGACCGATTCTCCGGGAGTCGTGGGAACCTCCGGTTCAGTCAGGGTCACTAACCACTGGACCAACAGGCCCGTCATCAATATTTAAACTATTTTTAAACACATAAGTAGGTATTGAAATAAATATGAGAAAAGGGAAATAAATCAAATGGCATAATAAATTTTACGAGTAGTACGATTTCAGGGCCATTTTCACATGGAAACCGATCACGTGCCTGTTACAGAACATTGGTTTCAAGTTGTTCTTGATAAAGAGCTTTTTTACAGTATTTTTGTACATTTAATAGTTAACAATAAAATTGTTATTACCATAAGTGCCGTTTACTCGTGTTGGCTAGCATTAACAGTTGTTCTGTCGAACTAATTCTTCTTTACAAATAAATATAATTGGAGTGTCTGTTTGTAATATTAAAATAACCGCATTTTACTAAATGCATATGTATGTTTACACGGTACATATGCCAAAATAACATTTTTTACAATTTTTGTCTGTCTGTATGTTTGTTCCGGGTAATCTCTGGAACGGCTGGACCGATTTCGACGGGACTTTCACTGGCAGATAGCTGATGACATAAGGAGTAACTTAGGCTACTTTTTTAGACTAGCTTCGCCCCGCGGTGTTGCCCGCGGTTATAACAACAAACGCGGGTAACACCGCTGGTCTCAGCTAGTTCTTTATAATATGCTACGAGTACACAGCTATGCACTGCCATGCTTAGCTGTGGCACATTATGGTTAATTTTTTTAGATAGAAACCATATTTGAAGCGTGTTCTATTCCGTG